TGTCTTCTCAAGATGGAAAGTGAGCTGGGTCCTTACAGGCCCCTGGGGTCAGGATATCAGCTGCCCATTGTGAGGTCATCAGGAATGCTGTGATGTCACCCCTGAGGGCAGATATATAAAGGCAAGCTTGAGGACAGGAAATCTGAGGCGAGTTGAGGCGAGGCGAGGAGAGGAGGGAGTTGAGTTGTATTGTGTTCTGTTGTGTTGGAGAGGAGAGTGAAGTGGAGGAGGTTGGAGAAGATCGGAGGAGAGCTAAGGAGAGGAGGGTGATATAGAGAGGACAAGATCGGAGGTGGTCAGAGTGGAGTTAAGGAGAGGAGAGGAGAGGAGTCGTACTGTGTTTAAGTCGAAGAGAGGAGAGTGAAGTGGATGAGATTGGAGAAGATCGGAGGAGAGCTAAGGAGAGGAGAGTGGTGTAGAGTGGACAAGATCGGAGGTGGCAGGAGAGGAGAGGAGAGGAGAGGAGAGGAGAGTGTGGAAATCCATCAAGTGAAGAGAAGAATTTTGCAAAGTTTGGAAGATTAGAAGATCAGGTAAGACTAAACCTTGATTCTGCAGATTATCTTTCCTCCTATTAAAGATAATAGGGTGTGGGGTAGAGTGGGGTGGAGTGGAGTGGAGTGAAGTGGAACAGAACAGAACAGAACAGAATAGAATAGAATAGAATAATAATTCTTTATATGTCCATGTACGATTGGACACCCGAGGAGAGATGGGAGCACCAAGGACCCCTCATTTCAACCCAGAGTTACAGACCTTCTCCTTTATTGGTAGGGTCTGCTTCCAGTTCTAGCCCTCACTCTTCACGGCAGGATGAGTCGCAGGCTGACCAAGTTGCCGTTGCTAAAGAAGAAGGACAGCAAGGAGTCCAACCTTCAGGTCAATCGTGACCAGCAGCAGTGGGACCGCCAGGTAGCCCATTTCTCTGGCTCCCACCCATCCACTTCCCAAGACGCAGCCACTCGGAGAACCACGCAGCTCCTGCCTCTGCTGGTGAAGTCTTCCGCAGCTCCAACGCAGGCCAGGAAGAGGGTTCAGCTTCCAGCGCTGGTGCTCCCCGACCTGGGCCAAAGGACAACCCTGAGGACCACTCCAGGGACTGCTCAGGCGGACGACCAGCAAGGCGAGAAAGAGCCCGTGGCCTTGCCAAGAGTGCCGGAGAGGGAAAGCTCTCAGAGGAGCAGCCTATCCCAGGGGAGAAGGCCTTCCAAGGCCCTCCTGCCTTTATATCCAGGTACACACAGAGCAGGGCTGGGCTATCTATGGAAGCAGCTTTGTCCTATCACATTAGCCCATCCCACTCTTTCCATCAGTCAATCAATCCATCCATCAATCAATCAATCAGAATAGAGCCAGAAGGGACCATTTGGGATCCAGAACATTGATTTAATAGGTCCCAGGACTTGATCCCGCCTCAGAGCTCTTTCAGGGTGTTTACCTACCCCTTGGGTATAGTTCTTTCTCTGTTTATTACAGAACAATCGAGTTGGAAGGCACCTCAGAGGTCTTCTAGTCCAACCCCCTGCTCAGGCAGGAGAGTCTATGCCATTTCAGACAGGGGGCTGTCCAGTCTCCTCTTAAAAACCTCCAGTGATGAAGGAAGTTGCTCCACTGATAAGTTGTTCTCACTGTTCGCCTTAGTCCAAGTTCGTTTCCCTCCAGGGCTTCTTCTCCTGCCCTTCGTGCTTTGGAAAATAAGGGGACCCCCTCTTCTTTCTGGCAGCCCCTCAAATACTGCATCATGTGACCCTAAGTCCTCCTTTCCTTTGGCCAGACCCAGTCCTAAGAAAAGAAGGACTTGGGGGAGCACAGTCCAGGAGTTGAGGGGCTGCCACAAAGAAGAGGGGGGTCAACCCAGCCCCTGCAGCCGCTCTTCCTCAGGCAGAGAACTTAGGCTACAGAGCCCCTCAGTCCAAGAAGGTCGGCCGGTGGGGTCTGGGCAGGGGGCCTTCTCTACCCCTGCTGCTCCTCTGTCAGGAAACCCTTTGCCCTCTGAGGGGAGGGGAGACCCCGTTCTCTTCGCCTTTCACAAAGCGGTCGAAACCTGGCTGTGTGGCTTTGGGTGGCAGGCACAAAGGGCCACACAATCCCGGGGCTGGCTGGTACCACGAGAGCCCCCCCTCCGCCTTTTTCATTCACCCACCTTGAACGATCGCCAGTAGTGATATACCAATATACAGCGTCCCCCCAGGATAGGGTCTCCTGCCTTCAGGATCCCTTCCAGCTCTGTCCTGTTCAAAGACCCTGGGATTTTTATTGCTTTGGAATGTCACAATGTTGTAATCTTACCATTTTTTAAAGAAAAAATGTCATCCTAAATTAATCTTAATATTTTATGGTGAATTTTATACGCTGCTTTATACGCTGATTACACGGCACAGTGTCCAGAGTGCCTCCCCGAGATGGGTGTCTGGGAACATGACCTATAAATAAATTCAGTCAATAGATTTCAGGCAAAAGGCACTTAGAGGTTGTGGTTAAGACACCCGTCCAGAAACAAGGAGGTGGTGAGTTCTAGTTCTGCCTTATACGCATGACAACGGGCTGGGTGACTTTGGGCCAGTCAAGCCAAAGGAAGGGCCAGGGCTGAGAGGATAGCAGTGTTCCAATATTTGGGGGGATGCCACAGAGAGGAGGGGGTCAAAGCCCCCGAAGGCCAGACAAGGAACATTGGATGGAAACGGATGAAGGAGAGAGTCGGCCTAGAACTATGGAGGAATTTCCTAACAGGGAGAACAATTAATCGGGGGAACGACTCCCCTTCTGAAGCGGTGGGTGCTCCATCCCTGGAGGCTTTCAAGGAGAGACTGGACAGCCACTTGTCAGAAATGGCAGGGGGTCTCCTGCCTGAGCAGGGGGTTGGACTAGATGACCTACAAGGTCCCTTCCAACTCTGTTATTCTGTAAAGGTTCAGTCACTTCAAAATGAGCAGGAAGATTTATGGCAAGCTGAAGCTCCCTACAAGAACCTGACCAGCTGGCCATTAAGGGGAAGGGTCCCTGTGACAACTCGCCACGGCCAACTTCGGTGGCCAACTAGCCGAGGGACAACTCACTGCGGGTTACATTAATATCACAGAAATGGTGGAAGAGAATCGTGAAAGAAAGGATGGCAAAGGAATGAAATGTGGACGATAAGAATTAAAATGATTTTTTATTTATTTTAAACAATGAAATTGAATTGTTATATTTTCCTGTGGCGAGTTGTCCCATTCCACAAAGGTCAGAAAGACACACATTCAACTTGGGCTGGATTTAGATCTCCTGCGGACGCGAAGGGACTTGTGACTAATGACGCCTTGGACCCCTCCCTCCCTCCCTCCCTCCCTCGGGCTCAGCCTGGTCTTCCCCTACGCACCCTTTTTTCTCCTCCTTTGGGGAAGGTTTGTCCCGTGGAATTGCCCATCGTCAATCCCAGTCTCTCTCTCCTTCTCAGAACTCTCCGACCAATGTTTCCAAACCTTCTGGGAGAGCAAGGAGCCCCTGAACGGCAGATCTGTGACAGAGATGTTGGAGCAGATGGATGAAAAGGAAATACTAGATACCATCCTGGAGCATCTTCGTCCCTCCTTGCATGTAAGCAGATTGGTTTGTATCAGGGGGATTCCAGGGGTCCATCCCAGAGAGGGTGCAGAAGCAAGGGCTGTCTCCGTGGAGATAATGTATCCCAAAGTGGACAAACGGGGTTGTGGAGAATGTGCTGAACTATGGGGCCTTTGGTGCTCTCTGAGCTGGGCTGTTTTCTTGCAGACGTTTCACGACCCAACTGGGTAACCTTATCAGTGCTAGTGGGTGTGAGGCTCGCTCCCTGCTTATTCAGGGCAGGCTACTGGGTATAAACAGAGAGCAAATGCCACTCCCTTCTGCTACTGATGATGTTGCCTAGTTGGGTCATGAAACGTCTGCAAGAAAACAACCAAGAGAGCACCAAGGACCCCATAGTCCTCCTCGTTCTCCACCATCTTCCTCCCACCTCTTTTCTCTCTCCTCCCTCCTTCTTCCTCCCCGTCTTCTCCTCCACTCTCTAAACCCTCTCCCTTGGAGCCCTGATGGTGTTCCTAGTTGGATCGTGAAAACTCTGCAAGAAAAAAGCCCATAGTTCTCATTGTCCACCATCTTCCTCCTCCTCCTCCTCCTCCTCCTCTCTGCAAACCCCACTCCCTTCTAGCACTGATGTTACCAGTGATGTTACCTAGTTTGGCCCTGAAACATTTGCAAAGCTCAGAGAGCAGCAAAGGCTCCACAGTCCTCTTCCTCCTCCTCCTCCTCCTCCTCCTCCTCCTCCCCATAACCCCTCCCCACCCTTCTAGCACCGATGATGTTACCTTGCTTGGCCCTGAAACATTTGCAAAGCTCAGAGAGCATAAGGGCTCCCCAGTTCACAACCCTGAGCTGCAAATAGTCTTTTCCGTCTGCTGAACTAACCTCAGTTCCTGCCTGCGCAGCCAGCCAGCCAGCCAGGGGGAGGGAGACTGGAGTTGTACAGGGGGTCCTTAACCTACAACCTCAACTCCGCCCAGGTTTTAGGGGGCTGAGCAAGACATTTTGTAAGTGGGCTTTGTTCCCATTTGACGACCTTTGAACCCCTGCCAATGTTCAGTTAGTCACAGGGTTGTTAAGGGAATCGGGCTCCTCCCTTGACTTTGCTGGTCAGGAAGTCGCAAAAGGGGATCACGTGACCCAGGACGTTGCAACCGTCACAAGTACATGCCAGTTGCCAAGCATCCGACTGTTGATGGCATAACCGCACAATGGTCATAAATGTGAAAAACGGTCAGAAGTCATTTCTTTCGGTTGTACATTATTCCTTATAAATAAATGGCTGTAAATCAAGGGCCAGCAACCTCTGGAGACGGGTTGTTTGCCTGTCCTTCCAGTCAGAGGAAGCAGATCTAGGGTCTTCATCCGGACAAGCGTTCTCACAATTTGTGGCAGAGATTTTCCAACAGCTCCTCTCCAAAGCTGCCTCAGCTTCAGCTGACACAACGCGGGAGGGTCCTTCTTACGTGCCTTGGCTAGAAAAGTCAAGTAAACTGAGGCAGAAGGGAAAGGGATGCTTTCCTTGGAAACACACAAGAGAGCCCGTTCCTCCCTCTGCTCCTTCGCTTTGCCTCCATGCCTTCCTTCTTGCTGCCTCAACAGATCTCTGCAGGCCCCCAACTGCCCAGGAGGAAAACGGATGGACTTCCCTCCCTCCAGCAGAAGTCTGCGCTCCGAGAAAGTCCTTCCCATCTCTTGCCTCAAGAGAAGGTAAATATGCTGAGATTTTCCCCTTGGGGGGGGCACAATTGTCCTAGACACAACGCCAACACAATGCCAACTCATTTCCTTCCAATGATTTAAAGAATTATTTTCATTTTTGTCGTTCACATTTCATTTTGTCCCTCCTTTGGCATCGTTCCTTTAATGATTCCGTTCCACCATTTCTTCGAGATTAGACAGACTAATGAATAGTAGCATAACAGAATTGGAAGGGACCTTGGAGGTCATCTATCCCACCCCCTGCTCAGGCAGGAAGCCCCATGCCATCTTGGACCCATGGCTGCCCAGTCTCCCCTTAAAAACCTCCAGTGATGGAGCACCTGCAACTTCTGGAGGCCAGATTGATTGTTCTCACTGTCAGGAAAATTCTCCTTCGCTCTAGGTTGCTTCTCTCCTTCATTAGTAGCTGACCACACGGTGCCCATTTCTGAGCGTAGTTTGTCCCCCTTTTCCTTTTCCTGACCCATTGGTGGACCTCCCTGCAATTCCCTGACTCTTTTCCCAACCTTCAGATTTCGCTTTACAAATACTACGGGGTGAAACTACGCAACTCGAGACAGAAAGACCTGGTCAAGGAACAACTGAAAAGTCTTCTGGGTTTTTCATTTCAAGAAGAAACAGACAGAGAAGTGAGTGGAAGTGGGGTTTCTGCAGGGGCTGAGCCCTCCAACTGTGTGGGGCCCTTGGTGCTCTCTGAGCCGGGTGGCTTTCTTGCAGACCTTTTGTTACCCAACTAGGTCACATCATCCATGCTAGAAGGGAGTGGGGTTTGTGGGGAGGAGGAGGAGGAAGAGGAGGAGGAGGAGGAGGAGGAGGAGGAGGAGGAGGAGGAGGAGAACTGTCTTTGGTGCTCTCTGAATTTCATTTTTTTTAAAGACATTTCATTACCCAGCTAGGTAACATCATCCGTGCTAGAAGGGAGAGGGGATTGCTCTCCTTTTGCAGGTGGTTCTCAACTTACGGCCACAAGTGGGATTGGTATTTCCATTGCTAAACAAGGCAGTTGTTAAATGAATTGTGCTGGGTTTTGTGACCTTTGGGGCTATGTTGTTTAAGTGAATCACCGCAATTGTTAAGGGAATCCTGCAATGCCTTTTTTATATTCGCTTTCTTCAAGGATGCTCTAACTTGGAAAAGTCACAGAACAAATGGTTGTAAGTCGAGGACTGCCTGTATTTAATTCCTGTCCACCCTCCCAAAGCTTGGAAGGAATAAAAAGAAGGGTGCAGGTAGTATGGCAGTCGTTTAGTGACCATTGAAAGTTAGGACAGCACTGAAAATGTGACTTATGACCGTTTCTCCAACTTACGGCCGTCGGAGCATCCTTAGAGTCACCTGACCAAAATTTGGATGTTTGGTTCCTATTTGTGACGGTCGCAGTCTCCCAGGGTCACCTGATCCTCCTTTTGCGGCCTTCTGGAGAGCGAAGCCAGTGGAGAAGTCAGAGGCACTTAAGAATTGTGTTACTAACTGAACAACTCCAGTGACTCACTTAACAACTGTGGCAAGAAAAGTCGTAAAATGGGGAAGAACTCCCCTAACAAATGTCGTGCTTAGCAACAGAAATGTTGGGCTCACTGGTGGTTGTAAGTTGAGGACTACCCGTATATTAACAATAATAAGACGATAACATCAGTGACTCTTCTTGACCGAAAGAGGTTGATCCTTTTTCCACTGGCTCATAAATTTATTCCTAGAGAGGCAGGAAGAACAAGGTAGGCAGAGGGTGAAGGACTGGAGCTGGGTCTCCACAGGGAGGCTCCAAGCGTCAAGATGGTGGCCACAATGCGGCAATTGTTCCATCCTGGGACTTCAAACTTGGCGACTTTCAGATTTGTGGACTTCAACTCCCAGAATTCCTCAGCCAGCACTCTGGGAGTTATAGTAATAATAATACTAATAAAGTTGGAAGGGACCTTGGAGGTCATCGAGTCCAACCCCCTGCTCAGGCAGGAAACCATTTCGGACAAATGGCTGTCCAGTTGAAGTCCCCAAGTCTTAAAAGTTGCAGGCTGGGGGATTCTGGGAGTTGAAGTCCCCGAGTCTTAAAGTTTGGAGACCTCTATTTTTGACCCATGGACCACTCTTGTTTGGAGCAAACGACTCCAGAATGTGGCTCACCTCGAGAGCAAAGAAGAGGTGGCTCTTGCTTAGCCTTCGTCACAGAAGCAGCCTGCAATAAAGACACACGATGACGGGTCAAATGTTGAAATGTCCTAATTCGCACGCATCGCTTTGCTTAGGGAATCTCTGAAGCCATCGGAGTGGTTGCCTTTTGCCATCTTCCTGAGATCCTGGTGGCCCTGAGGCAGGTTGGCCACTTTGTGCGTGCAAAGAAACCTGCTCTGCAAGAAGCCCCCTTTCAGGTAAGGCCCGAGATGGGCTTGCAAGGTCTGAGACTCAGGACAGAAGAACGCTGGGGGATTCTGGGAAGGAAAGTCTAACGTGTTACCAGCGCTGGGAGGTGGAAATTCTCCATCTCCACCTCCCGGAGGGCTGTTTTATAACGCTAGAGGAGGTTATGAGTTGCCCCAACAAACATCTCCAGTAGACCCAGAGATGCTTTTTCAGAAGGCAACTGGACTTTGTTTTTCCTTCCTTTCACTTCTCAGCCAAGAAGCTTCTTCTGTTCTGACTGAGAAGGGGATTGGACCGAGGGATGATGGAGAATAGTTCTTATCGCCTCATCCCTTCCGGTGGTTGATGACCACTTCCTGGACCTCAGTGTGGAGGTGGGAAAGGGACCCCAATTGGAGGCCAGACATGTGGACTTCCCAAAGACATCCAGTGGGCCATTTGGGATCCAGAACGGTGATCTAATAGGTCTCAGGACTTGATCCAGCCTCAGAGCTCTTTCAGGGTGTTTATAGACCCCCCCCGGTACAGTTCTTTCTCTGTTTATTATACAACAAAGAACGTAGATAGAACAAGCGAGTTGGAAGGATCCTCAGAGGTCTTCTAGGTCCAACTCCCTGCTCAAGCAGTATATCATTTCAGCCAAATGGCTGTCCAGTCTCTGTTTGAAAGCCTCCAGTGATGGAGCACCCACAACTTCTGGAGGCAAGCTGTTCCACTGGTTAATTGTCCTCACTGTTGGGAAGTTTCTCCTTAATTCCAAGTTGCTTCTCTCCTTGGCTAGTTTCCATCCATTGCTTCTTCTCCTGGTGCTTTGGAGAACAGGTTGACTCCCCCCCCCCCCGTCTTTGTAATCACAGGACCCACACTCTTGTTTTGAGAGACAAATTCGCACAGCCGTGATCCTGTGCTATGGCCACGCAGCCCTGGGAGCCCAGCCAGAGGACCTGATGCCTTTAGCGGAACACATTGTCTCTGAGATTCTCTTCCAGTATTGGACCAGGAACAAGGTAGGCTGGCTTCCACCCTGGGCTTCTCTTTGCCCTTTTCTCAGAAAGGTGGGAGTCATGTCACCAGTCTTCCCGCTGAATTAAGATGGAAAAAGAACCCCCTGTGATTATTGTCCAGAATCGCCTCTCATTATTTCCCCTCTTTATTGCGAGAACAAGGACAATCTGGAGTCCTTAGCTGGGTTGCCTTCTTGCAGACATTTCATGACCCAGCTGCGTAATGTTATCAGTGCATTGTGGGAAAGGAGGAGCAGGAGTAGCAGGAGGAGAAGGAGGAGCAGGAGGAGAAGGAGGACGATAGAGTCCTTGGTGTTCTCGGTTTAATTGTTTTCTTGCAGATATTTCCCTACCCAACTAGGTAACGTTATCAGTGCTAGAAGGGAGTGGGGTTTGCTCTCCTTCTACATACGAGTGGCTTGCCCTGTCAATGCCGGCAGGACTGTTGTTTTTCTTCTTCATATTTCCTTGATCTATTGTTTACCACTGAATAGTTTCTCTGGTGTTAATCACCGCTTATCTGGGTTTGCATTGCTAGTGAGGAAATACAAGGAATGTCTGAGGAAATCCAGCTGGCTCGCAGAGCACCACCCCTGAGCGACAAAGACCCCCCTCTATTGAATTCTCTGACTGCCCATCTTAGAGGCAGAAGAGAGTAGAACGACAGAGTTGCTTGGAAGAATCCTGATCTCTGGATCAGCAGGAACCCTCCAGCCCCCAGTTAGGCCTCTAATTCAGATTCGCCCCCTATTCCGATTGCAGAGTAGATGTTTAAATGCTAGTTGTTCATTTATCTATTGGAAGGTCAAGCCGCCTTTATTACACTCAAGGCAGCGGACAAGCATAATATTCTTCCCTCCTTCCCCCAACAACCTTGTGAGGTAGATGGACTGGCCCAAAGTCTCTCAGCTGGCTTTCATCCTAAGACGGGACTCGAACTCACAGTCTCCTGGTGATTAGCCCAAAGTTACCCATCCAGAACTCGCCATTTTGGGTGACGGCACAAAGTCTCTCAGCTGGCTTTCATCCTAAGATGGAAGAAAAACTCAGAGTCTCCTGGTGACTGGCCAAAATCACTCAGCCATCTTTCATACCTAAGGCGGAACCAGAACTCAGAACGTCCAGGTGATATTTTGATTGGCAGCCCCTCAGAGTTCAACAGAAGGTGGTTGGCTGCATCGAGGTTTAAATCAATCAGTGCTTCCTTCTGGTTTCCTCTAACCCTCCGCTATCCACCCTGTGTAAGGACCTACCCGACTTTACATCTTAAGAAGACAGAACTCTTGGAATATCTCTTCCAACAGGCATCTTTATTAAGAGAAGATGGTTGCAGGCGTTCTAGGCAGGATCTGAGGAGTTCTCTCCTATCCTTCAAAGTTTTAAGTGTTCCCAAGTAGCCCCCACTCCACAGTTCTTCCGGGCGACAATTCCCCCCCTTTTCCCTTACTGCCAGCAAAAGAGAGAGGAGTAGATGAAAGGCGATGGCCATATTGTTATGGTCAGTCCTCTTGGTGAGAATCAACATCCAGTCCTTTTGAAGTTTAAGGAAGGAAGTGAGAGCCATAAAACCCCCCTGCTCATCCCCCTCCCCCTTCGTAGTATGGCAGAATCCAGAGAGAGCAGAAATGGGTTTTTTCCATAGTAGATCACTAGAAATGAAATATAATTGGATTCTGCCTTTTCCAGGATGAAGCCTTGACGAAAGCGTTCCTGACGTCCGTGATCAGGATCACCAAGGCTCTTGTCCAGACCAAGAGTCAGGATGTCCATTTACCCCACAAATCTGAACTGGCCCTCAATATAAATGTAAGTGGGGGGACAGGTGCTCCCGGGACAATTTATTTCGGAAAGTGAATTTGGATGGAATTCTATGGAATATAGCAGGTTCTCCTCGCCTGCCATTCAGCCCCAAATGGTTGTTGCTAAGTGGGACAATTGTTAAGTGAATTCTGCCTTATTTTACGACCTGTCTTGCCACCGTTGTTAACCGAATCACAGCTGTTAAATTAGTCACATGGTCGTTAAGTGAATCCGGCTTCCTCGTTGACTTGGCATGTCAGAAGGCCACAAAAAAGGGGATGACGTGACCCAGGGACACTGCGACCGTCATCCGTATGAACCATTTGCCAGGTGACTCCATTTTGACCAGGTGACCATTAGGGAATGCTGCCGTGGTTGTAAGTGTGAAAAGCCACCATCAGTCACTTTTTTCCAGTGCCGTTGTAACTTCACATGGTCCTTAAATGGGTGGCTGTTAAGTGGAGGACTGTTATGGTCTATTTGGCCAAGGGTGGCTAGGCACAGAGAGGTTCTCTCAAGTGGGGTGAGACACTGTGCAGACGCCCCCCAGGGCAGGAGCTCTCGGTGTGCATGCGGAAGCACAGAGGGAGCAGGAAAGGGGAGGAGGATAGCGTGCAGACAGACGATGTGGGGAAAGCGAGAGAAGGCAGGACTGTAAGGACCAGGTGTTCAGCAGAGGGAGGGCACAAGGCAGAAAACGCTGTGTGACTCGTTGCCCCAAAGGTGCTTTTTCAGGAGAAGACGTTTCGCTTCCCCTCCAAGAAGCTTCTTCAGCTCTGACTGGATGGTGGGGAACGGAGGGGTTTAACTGCCCTAAGTGCAGGCTGGTTGCCAGGTGACCCCGAGGAAGACTCGTCTCTCGGAACTTCGGATCTGGGTCATAAGGAGTCCTGGAGAGATCTGTCACAACTTTAAATGGTGGCTAAGTGACCAGTTATAAGTTGAGGACCTCTTGTATCAACCAGAAAAAGCATAGGGGTGGGAATAGAGCCAGTTGCATGGTGGCCATATCTCTGGAGCTTGCTCTGATGTGTTTCCTCCTCCTCCTCCTCCTCTCAGGAAGTCATTGAAAATGAGCCCGTGAGTCCCTTGTCCGTCAGAATTCTTCATCAAGCGATCATCGCAATCACCTGCATGACGTACGTACCGGCACCGCCCTCACCTTATCACCAGGGTTTGTAGGAACCGGGAGTTGGACCCCGTTATGGGATTTCCATGCCAAGTCCCCAGGCTTTAGAGCATGCGTGGAATTAGCAGGTCAGTCCCAGAATTTGGAAGGGTGAACAATTTGCAGGCTGGCCATCTGGGCAGTTCAGATCTGGGAAACAGGTGAGCGTGCTGATTTAGATGTGAGGGGTCCTTGGTGCTAACCAAGAATAGAATAGAGATGGAAGGGACCTTGCAGGTCTTCTAGTCCAGCCCCTGATCAAGCAGGAGAACCTATGCCATCTCAGACAAGTGACTGTCTAGCCTCTTTTTAAAAATCTCCAGTGACGGAGCGCCCACGATTTCTGGGGACAAGCTATTCCACTGGTTAATTATCCTCGCTGTCAGGAAGTTTCTCCTTAATTCCAGGTTGCTTCTCTCTTTGATCAGTTTCCAACCATTGTTTCTCGTCCTTCCCTCTGGTGCTTTGGTGAACGTGACCCCCTCTTCCTTGTGACAGCCCCTCAGATACTGGAATACAGCTATCCTGTCTCCTTAATTCTTCTTTTCTTTAGACTAGCCAAACACAAGTCCTGCAGCCGTTTTTCGTATGTTTTACTCTCAGGGCCTTTGATCTTCTTAATTGCTCTTATCTAATTTGCTTCCAAACTCTCAACATCTTTTTTGTGATATGGTGACCAAACGTGGCTGCAATATTCCAGGTGTGGTCTTACTAGGGTTGTATAAAGCGGTACTAATACTTCGCGTGATCTTGATTCTATGCCTCTGTTTATACCACCCAGGGTTGTATTTTTGGGCTGCTGCTGCATACTGCTGGCTCATGGTTAAGTGATCGTCCACTAGGACTCCAAGGTCCCTCTCACAGTTCCTGTTTTTAAGCCAGGTCTCGCCCAATCCGTACTTGTAGCTTTGATTTTTCCTGCCTAGATGTAAATCTCCACCCTGAAACTCATTTTATTGGATAGGGTCCATTGTTCAAGGTTGACTCAGCCTTCCGTCCTTCCGAGGTCGGTAAAATGAGGACCCAGATTGTTGGGGGCAATAGGCTGACTTTGTAAAACCACTTAGAGAGGGCTGTAAAGCACTGTAAAGCGGCATATAAGTCCAAGTGCTATTGCTCTGTCTAGTTTAATGAAAAAAAGGTCTGGGGGTGATACGATAGCAGTCTTCCAATATTTGAGGGGCTGTCACAGAGAGGAGGGGGTCAACTACTCTCCAAAGTACCTAAGATAAAAAATCAATATATGGAAACCTATCAAAGAGAGATCCAGGAGAAATTTCCTGACACTGAGAACAATCCATCAGTGGAACGCTTTGCCTCCAGAGGTTGGGGGTGCTCCATCACTCCAGGTTTTCAAGAAAAGACTTGACAATCATTTGACCAGGATGGTATAAGCACCATCAAAAAGCAAGGGTTGGACTAGAAGACCTCCAAGGTCCCTCCTAGCCTCACGAGTCTACGATCTTCTCACACCCCCTCCTCTTTTCTTGTCTTTCATCAGTCGTTTGAAGCCTACATTGAACACTGAGGTGATGTCTAAGTTGGTGAACACAAGCATCCAGAAGGTGTTTTCCCTGCCGGCTATGACCATGACCAAAGTGAATGCAGGTAGCCCAAACCAGTCAACCTATACTCAGGTGAGCAGTCCAGATGAAGCAAAGCAATATGAGATCCATCTGGACCTTTGGTGGGAGGACGAGGTGAAACATGAATCAAGATCTCCTCAAAAGCTCTGAATCCATCCATTGAGCCAAATGGCACCTTGGCCTGTCCCTTCATCCCTGGCCTTGAAAGAAGGCTTCCATTTCTCATTCTACCTTTCTTGATAGGACTAGTATTTTTAACTTCTAAACATCTCCATGGTCTTCCTCACCAGCTTTTCCTCTCTTCCTTCACTACTACTACTACTTTCTTCTTCTTCTTCTTCTTCTTCTTTTCTTCTTCTTCTTCTTCTTCTTCTTCTTCTTCTTCTTCTTCTTCTTCTTCTTCTTCTTCTTCTTCTTCTTCTTCTTCTTCTTCTTCTTCTTCTTCTTCTTCTTCTTCTTCCTCTTCCTCTTCTTCTTCTTCTTCTTCTTCTTTGTTCTGGTTGAAGTGTCTTCTCAGGACCAACTCCCCATCTTCCCCTTTTGTGCCCAGACGAAAGAAGGGCATACGGTGGTGCAGAACAACCATGATCTGCATGCATTAGCTATCATTCCTAGGTCATCTCAAAGAACCCTCAAGAAAAGGTACAACTTCTCTGACCTGAGTTTGATTCCTGCTCACTTTGGGGACATATCCACGACAGCTTCTTGGCCACAAGATGGAAGGGCAAAATCCTACGATGCAATTCCCAAAATAGAAGCAAAGCCCAGATTGTCTATTTGTTCCTGTTGAGATCCTAAGGAAGCTGCAAGAAAAGACTACATGGACATGGTGGATGTCCAACCTTGGCAACTTGAAGACCCTGGACTTCAACTCCCAGAATTCCCCAGCCAGCATGCCACAGTGGGACACCCCATTGTGGAAGAGCACAACTCCTGATATTGTTGATGCTGATAGATTTCCCTCCCAAATCAACTAGATCAACCATTTAATCAGAATTATTTCTGAGGGACAAAGATTTACAGGAGGTCCTTGACTTACCACTGCAACCGAGTCAGAATTATGACCATAAGTCATTAGAGTCATAGGTTGAGGCACTAAGTGGCCAGACGGGATTTTTTGGCAGTTTTTGCAGTGGTCATGAAGTGAACGCGGCAGTCATTAAGCGGACGCTGCAGCTATTAAGCGAACAACATGGTCGTTAAGGGAATCCATTAGGCCCAATGGGTATTTCTTGTTGGAAGCTAGAAGCAAATGCCCAAAACCAGCAATAAAGGTCAAAAAACGTGGGACAAGGCAAACAGCTGTAAAGGCGAGCCAGCACCCAAAATGCAATCATGGAACCTTTGAACTTTAACTTTGAAATTCTTACTTTGAAATTTGGTCTTAATGAGAGATTGTCCTAACTTTAAATGGTCACTAAGCAACTGGTCATAAGTCGAGGAGAACCCATACTACTCCCATGTAGCTTGTTGAAGCAGCCTTTGTTTTCTCCTGCTTTTTCCACCAAGGGAGAACTTTGTAACCTCCCCAAGGGGAGCTGTAGAAATTCAAAAACTCTACCCATAAGTCAGATAAAGAATTCTGTCCAGCACTATATCAGGGCTAGTCTTGATAAAGCTAAGCGAGGTCAGGCACGGTTGGGTCTTGGATGGGCAACTGCAACTAGTCCTCAACTAACAACAGATCATGTAGTGACCGGTTGAAGTTACAACGGCATGGAAAAAAGTGAGGTCGCAGCATCCCAGGGTCACCTGACCCCCTTTTGCGACCTTCCGACAAGCAACGTCAATGGGGAAGCTTGATTCATTTAATGTCCGTGTGACTAACTAAACAACTGCAGTGGAAAGAAAGGTCGCAAAATGGGGCAAAGCTCACTTAACCATTGTCTCGCTTAGCAACAGAAATTTTGGGCTCAGTTGTGGTCGTACGTTGAGGACTGCCTGTCTTTGAATATCCTAGAATTGCAAGGAAGACATTCCACCTCTTAGTAAACCTTTTGTGGACGACAACATTACGGAAGTCCTTCTGTTCCTCGCTCTGAGCAGAGAAAGCATTTCCTCTGGCTCTTGAAGAAAAAACGGCCCTGCAAGATTGGCCGCTTCGTTTCCTGCAGAGATGGGGAACGAGGGCCATATTTCGGACTCGTGGCCTTCAATTCCCAGAATTCCTGAGCTTAGGAAGTCCACAAGTCATAAAAGTGGCCCTCGTTCCCCACCCCTGGTTGTTCTGCCTCCTGGATGCGCTGCTCCTTCCTGTACGCCACCCCTTCCCTCTGATGTCTTCCTCCTTTTAGGACCTGTAAGGACCCACCCCACTTTGCATCTTAAGAAGGCAGAACTCTTGGAATAATTCTTCCAACAGGAATCCTTTATTAAGAGGAAGTGGTTGCAGGCGTGCTAGACAGGACTTGGGGTCCAAGCTCTCCCATTCAAGGTTTTAAGGGGTTCCCCAGCAGTCCCACCCAATCACTCCCCCTTCCAGTGATAGTTTCAGGCATCACAATTCCACCCCCTTGCTCCTTTCTTCCGTCTGTATGGAGACTTCAGATAACTACATGAAAGGTAATTAGTTCTCTTTGTCATGATAAGGTTCTTTGATGCTAGTTACATTCAAAGTCTTCCTTTGAAGTTGCAATAAACACATTCAACTTCTTAGGAGTATACTGAAGGAAGTGAGAGCCATAAAGCCCCTTTGTTCTCCCCCTTCTCTCCCTCTTATGGCAGAATCCAGAGAAGGCAGAATTGGGAGTTTCTATATTTGATAATTAAAGATGAAATATAATTGGATTCTGACAGGACCTTTATCACCGGACGGTGACCGCCTGCAGCGCCATGCTCACCAGCTTGCTGTCGGAGGCTCCCAATTTGGATTCCCTGCAGGAGATCTTGATGGTGAGGCTTACTCTTGTTCTGGCTGGTTGCAGTGGTCGGCCAGAGGTTCAGACGGGACTTGGCAATGTGGTCCACCCGTCCTTCCCAAGGACCAGGGATAGGCAGACGTTGCCGTTGGTTGGCAAAGTATTGTCACAGCTGCGGAATGGAACAACTCGCCAGGGGACAACTCGACAATTCAGTTTAATTATTTAGAACAGTTAAAACGTTGTTTTAATTTTTGTCATTCGCATTTCATTTTGTCCCTCTTTTGGCATCCTTTCTTTAATGATGCTATTCCACTATTTCTCCGATATTAGCGTAATCCTTCATTTAGTGGCTGTTCGAAGATACAACGGCACTGAACGGCTGGTCAGAAGGTCGCAAAAGGGGACCGTGAGACCCCGGGACCCTGCAACCGTCATAAATATGAGTCAGTTGCCACACATCCGAATTTCGATCCTGTGACCACGAGGATGCTGCAACGGTCCTAAGTGTGAAAAACAGCCACGACTCCCTTTTTCAGTGCCATTGTAACTTTGAACGCTAAATCCCAATAGCCCTTATCCTTATATGCCGCTTTACAGTGCTTCTACAGCCCTCTCTAAGCGGTTTATAGAGTCAGCATAATGTCCCCAACAATCTGGGTCCTCATTTTACCGACCTCAGAAGGAAGGAAGGCTGAGTTGACCTTGAAACGGTCAGGACTGCGGGCAGAATTAGCCTGCAATACCGCATTCTAACCACTGCGCCAGCAGGGCTCTAAATGAACTGTTGTAAACCGAGGACTGGCTTTATTCCAAAAATCTTCAATTACTGGTCTAGTTTTGAGTCTAGAATAGACCTAAACTGCCAAATGTCTCAACTTCATTTGGCTCCTTCAATTTTCTCCCCAGTGCTGGCAAATTCTGTGGATCTTCAAACTGTTAATCACAAATTCTTTCTTTCTTTCTTTCTTTCTTTCTTTCTTTCTTTCTTTCTTTCTTTCTTTCTTCCTTCCTTCCTTCCTTCCCTCCCTCCCTCCCTCCTTCCTTCCTTCCTTCTTCTCTTTTTTTTTCCCCTGGCAGCACACAAATATCTGGATTGAATCTCCCAAGATTCACGAGAGAGAGAGGGCCATTAAAAGCACCCGGTACCTCCTGAAGTTTGTTTCTGAACAGACAGATTTCGACGTAAGTCACAGTTCTGGATGAGAAGTGAAACTTTTTCAGAGGAAAAATAAGTAAGAAAGTCCAGTTGTCTTCTGGAAAAAGTGCCTTTGGGATGTGACCAGGATGTTGTCAAGAGTCCTGCTCGAGCAGCAAGTTGGAGGGGAATTAATCCACAGTCCCTTCCAGCTCGGTATTTCTGTGATTTTAAGCTTTTCTTATTCTAAGGGCCTGGGGGTCTCCAGCGTGGCTTGCTTGGCAGACGGAGGGGGGGAACGTAGTTCCTGCCAGGCTCTGGGCTGGCCTCACCCCCTAGTGACTTCAGACTCTCATGATGAAGCAGCACATCCCACCTTCGTCGCCACTGTTAAGATTCGGATCTTGAAAGCATTAAGCGAGAGGAGTGTTGAAACAGCAACAAGTTTATTTAACTCTGAACAGAAGCAACTGAAATAGCTGCTGCGCAACTATTTATATGGTCAGCCTCCAGGCAGCAGCCAATAGGCTTAAAGTAACAGTTTCCCGCCCAAAACCTAATTACCAGCCTGGAGACAGCCAGTCTGGCTTAAGTAACAGCAGCCGTTACATTAGACATTAAGCAAGTTATTCAAAGCAGTTGTGACCAATACATTACACTAATCTTCTATGATTCTATGAGTCTAAGGTTCTATGATTATAAGGTTCCATGATTATAAGATTGTATAATTATATAATTCTATGATACTGAGATTCTAAGATTCTGATTCTATGATTCTAAGATTCTATGATTATAAGTTTCTATCATTCTATGATTCTGTGATACTATGATTCAAAGATTCTATGATTCTAAGATTCAATGATTATAAGTGTCAGAATCCAATTATATTTCATCTTTAAGCATCAAATATAGAAAACCCCAATTCTGCCTTCTCTGGGTTCTGCCAGAAGAGGGAGAGAAGGGGGAGAACAAAGGGGCTTTATGCAACCACTTCTTCTTAATAAAGGATTCCTGTTGGAAGAATTATTCCAAGAGTTCTGTCTTCTTAAGATGCAAAGTGGGGTGGGTCCTTACAATAAGGTTCCATGATTCTAAGATTGTATAATTCTATGATTCTGTGATTCTAACATGGTACGATTCTATGATTCTATGATTCTGTAATTCTAACATGGTACGATTCTATCATTCTATGATTCTGTGATACTATGATTGTAAGATTCTATAATTCTAAGAATCTGTGATTCTAAGATTCTATAATTCGAAGATTCTGTGATTCGAAGATCCTGTGATTTGAAGATTCTATGATTATAAGGTTCCATGGTTCTAAGATTGTATACTTCTATGATTCTAAGATTCTGTGATTCGAAGATTCTGATTCTATATTAGGCTGAAAGCTTCATGAGCCCCCTTCTCTTCTTTCTCCTCCTTTCTCCTTCCTTTCATTAGACCACAGCTGACTTTTATCTGCTGGGGCAGCTGGTGGCGTTGCTGGGCCTGCACATTGGCGACAGTGTCAAAGAAATTGGCCAGACCTCTGCGGAGGCCGCCTACCACCTCCACTGCATCATCCTGAACAAAATGGGTGAGAAATTTTGACTCCCTCGCCAAGGGACTGCCGTGCTCTAAGGAGACCGCAGATGCACGCTACCCAGGAGAGCAGTGGGTGGCACAGCCTCTGGCTTGACCAAGACCCTGGGCACTGGGCTTGGCAGAGTTGCCTTGAATGTGCAATTGATATTGGCTTCTCTCGGGGCCAGGGGTCCTTTTAAGGCTGAGTTCTCACGTTACGTGGGACAGTTAGGCTAAGCACCTCAGGTCACCCAGCGCGGGATTGTCAGTCTTGGCCCACTGTTTGTGTCTTAGCGTGTTTTGCAAAGCCACATTTTAGTAATTGGATGGCTGGATGTATTGTGGGAAGGGAGAAAATGGGTTAACAAAGTTACTGATTGGGTGGACAGTGTTAAGGGAAAAGCTAAAGGACGAGTGCTTAGCCTTAGAATAAATTCTATGTTAGTTTTATAGTTTCAAGACCATTTCATATGTCTTCTCATGTTTTAATTGGGAGCCCTGCACAATCAGTTGAAAGGCAGGCAGTTGTACAAATGCTTTAAAGAAAGTAAAGGCTCTGTTAAATTTGGTGAGTTAAAAGCTTAACCCAGTGATTGTGAACCTTGGCAACGTTAAGACGTGTGGATTTCAGCTCTCAGAATGAAATCAATTCAGAGCCTAATGCTTAATTTGCACAACAGGCAAAATGTAGTCAGAGTTAAATCCAGTTAGATTCATTCGTTCGTTCATTCATTCATTCATTCATTCATTCATTCATTCATGTAATTTGTTTCTTATGTAACCCTGTTTATTTTCTCTTTAAGGTCCAGCCTATTGTGTTAATCTAAAAAAGGGATAGAGGGAGGGAGGGAGGGGACAGAGGGAGGGAAGGGAGACAGAGCAGGAAGGGGGAGGGAGGGAGAGGAAGAGAGAGAGGGAGAGAGAGGAAGGGGAGGGAGAGAGGGGGGAGGGAGGGAAGGGAGAGAGAGGGGGAGGGAGGGAGGGAGAGAGGGAGAGAGGGAGGGAGAGAGAGGAAGGGGAGGGAGGGGAGGGAGAGAGAGGGGGAGAGGGAGGGGGAGAGAGGGAGAGAGGAGAGAGAGAGAGGGAGGGAGAGAGAGAGGAAGGGGAGGGAGGGGAGAGAGGGGGAGGGAGAGAGAGGGAGGGAGAGGGGGAGAGAGAGGGAGGGGAGAGAGAAAGAGGGAGGGAGGACAGAGAGAGGGAGGGGAGGGAGGGAGAGAGAGGGAGAGAGGGGGGAGAGAGAGAGAAGGAGGGAGAGAGAGGAAGGGGAGGGAGGGAAGGGAGAGGGGAGAGAGAGGGAGGGGAGGGAGAGAAAGAAAGAGGGAGGGAGGACAGAGAGAGGGAGGGGAGGGAGGGAGAGAGAGGGAGAGGGGGGAGAGAGAGAGGGAGGGAGAGAGAGGAAGGGGAGGGAGGGAAGGGAGAGGGGAGAGAGAGGGAGGGGAGGGAGAGAGAGAAAGAGGGAGGGAGGACAGAGAGAGGGAGAGGAGGGAGCGGGGAGAGAGAGAGAGAGAGAGAGCATGCCTGCTTTAGCATCACCAACCCTAATGCAAAGATGCACCAGGCTGGGGTTCGAGAGTTCCCCTGCCCAGGTTCCTTTTCCTTTTAGCAAGAATTTTTGTCACCCTACACAGCAAGGCTGAGCTCGGACAGCCATTTTTTTCTTTGCAAATGTTTGTTTGGCAAGGTCCTCAGAACAGCAATATGTAACACACACACACACACACACACACACACACACACACACACACACATAGGGCCTGAGGATGGTGCCAGGAAATGACAGTTGGGTGGGGTTCTTAGTGCTCTCTGAGCCTGGCGGTTTTCTTGCAGACCTTTCAAGACCCAACTAGGAAACATCATCAGTGCTTTTCTCTGTGTTTTGCCCTCTCAGCACTGATGGCCATCATCACTTGCTGTGCAGGTTCTGAGGTGTTGCTTGATAAAAAAAATACAGGAAACCAGAAGTTCCCTTTAAGCTTTACATTTTTATTCAGCTGAACAAAGCCCCGAATGAGAAGAAATCCGTGTATTTATTCCTTCTGATTACATAAGCAATCCACCCGGCAGAGCTGACACACATAAGATCAAGATTTCGCCCCGTAAGTCTGGCACACTGTAGCTAAGAAGGGAGAAAGCAGAAGTAGCTAAAAATGTTCCCTTTGGGGGGTTTCCCTAAAGACCTCGGACGTTCCCGGGTGGGTTAGGACGTGGGCTGTTTTCCTTGCTGCCCTTTCACGACCTGCCTCCATGACTCTGCAAGGGCCCAAAGTCAGCAGGGCCCTCTGCACATATTCACAATTGATACTTCCTATGCTGTCTCCTGATTGGGATCAACACACTGATGATGTTTCCTAGCTGGGTCTTGAAACGTCTGCAAGAAAACCACCAAGCTCAGAGAGCAGCAGGAACCCCCCAGTTCAGCCCTGAGTTACACATTTTCTCTTCGGTTGGAACGACTAAACCAGCAGTTGGGCAAAGGATGTTCAGAGGTTCTGAAGGCCAAAATCTGACCTTGTGTTTTTTTCCCTCCCTACAAAGCTCAAGAGATGGAGAAGAAGAACAAAAACAGGAAGGGGCATAATGTGAGATGGGCCAAAGAAGATCTCCAAAGTTTGGGCCCTGGGATCTTCTATAACGACATCTCCAAAATGGCTAAGGTAGGTTTTAGTCCAGCCTTTTGCCTTCTTCTTCTTGACCTTCCTTTCTGTCCTCCTCCTTAGGACCTGGAGATGCTCCAAAAAGCCAGTGTAACAGTGGGGAGGGCATGATCCAAAGGCTGGAGTTTGGCTGTCCATCCCATACAATCCATGGGATGAATGTATAAGAATGGATTAGAATCAAGATCATGTGAAGGGTTAATACCACTTTGTAGTGCCTCAATAAGGCCACACTTGGAATACGGCATCCAGTTTTGGTCACCACGATGTAAAAAAGATGTTGAGACCCTAGAAAGAGTGCAGAGAAGAGCAACAAAGATGATTAGATGATTAGAGGGCTGGAGGAAGAACGATTGCAGAAATTGGGTATGTCTAGTTTAATGAAGACGAGGGGTGACAGGATAGCAGTGTTCCAGTATCAGTTCCAGTATCTCAGGGGCTGCCACAAAGTAGAGGGAGTCAAGCTATTCTCCAAAGCACCTGAAGGCAGGAGAAGAAGCAATGGGTGGAAACTAATCCAGGAGAGAAGCAACCTAGAAATAAGGAGAAATTTCCTGACAGTTACAAAAATTAATCAGTGGAACAACCTGCCTCCAGAAATTGTGAATGCTCCAACACTGGAGGTTTTTAAGAAGAGATTGGACAAGCATTTGTCTGAAATCATGTAGGGTTTCCTGCCTGAGCAAAGGGTTGAACTAGAAAACCTCTAAGGTCCCTTCCAACTCTGCTATTCTATTCTAATGGTCGGAAGAGGCAATCGCAGCTGCCATGTTGGCTTCTTTTTACCCACACCCTAATATCAATGAACATCATTGACGATATGGAATAAGCCCTGCCTCTCTGTACAATGTCCTTTCCCCAAATCTGGGTCAAAGTATTTGAACACCACCACTCCTTGTAGAGACAAGAAAGTCAAAAACCCTGATTCATCTCTGTGTGGTCTCCTTTTCTTCTCTCCAATAGGCCTTTGGTGAGCATCTCTCCCCCATAAACATCACAGACCTGATGCTGAGAATAATTGAGGCTCTCACACATGAGGAGAAGACCATTTGCCAGGCTGCTGGAGTACTACTCCTCTCCTTCCTGGAGGAATGTTGTATGGACATGGAGGAAGTAAGAAATGGAGGGTTTGGAGCAAAAGGGATATAGGAGATTTTGTAGAAAAGAAGGATGAGAATGGATGAGACCTTGTGCTCTGAGGCCCTCTTGGTGATGACAACACTTTGGCTGGTTTTAAGAAAGTTAGGGCTGGATGGGAGACCACCAGGTGATCTTAAGGCTGTAAAGTTGGGTAAACCTTCCAGAAGAAAGTAAGGGCAAAACAAAATAGCCATATTGTTTTCATGAAAACTTTATTTAGAGAGCCACTTGGATAGAGGGGTTTTTTTGGGCCCACAGTCACAATTCTGTGATGATATTTTGTCCCATTTATCTATTGTGGCCAGTGCAAATTCGGTTCCATGTTGTCCATATCACACGGGGCTTGATAAACGAGATGTTTTTTTCCAAAATGTAATGGGTGGGAGTGATCAACTCCACTGCATCTCCAGTGGAGACCGACACCGGAGCTCATCCCTCTGATCTCTTTTTTGCTGTAGATACCCAAGATCCTCCGGGAAATTTGTCAGCATCTGCCCAACATTAGTGAACCGGCCACGAAAGAAAAAACCCTGAAGTCCGTGTGTCACCTGGCATCTAAATGGGTGAAAGAAGTGGTGGACTTTCTTCTGGAACGCTCCCCGGATTGCGATCAGTAAGAACCTCAAGGAGATGAGGACTCCTGTTTTCTTACGGTCTACGGAGATTCTCAATCATTCGTGATAGTGGAGAATATCCGTAGCTGGGGTGGAGGACGAGGGTGGAGGTTCGTCCTCCGAGCTTCTGCTTCGTTTCTGAATGTTTCATTACCAGGCTGGGTAACATCTTCAGCGGAGTTTGTGGGATGTTGGTTGTTGCTTGTAAGGGCTTCAGGTGTGGGTGTGTCGAGTGAGGGTTTGTGAGTCATCCGTGATGGGCAGGGGGTTGGACTAGAAGCCCTCCAAGGTGCCTTCTAGGCCTATGAGCCTAGGAATGAGAGAATAACAGAGTTGTTAGGGATCCTGGAGGTCTTCTAGCCCAACCCCCTGCTCAGACAGGAAACCTTACACCATTTCAGACAGGTGGTTGTCCAATCCCTTCTGAAAAACCTCCAGTGTTGGAGCATTCAGAACTTCTAGAGGCAGGTTGTTCCACTGGTAAAATTGTTCTCAGTGTTAGGAAATTCCTCCTTAGTTCTGGGTTGCTTCTCTCCTTGATTAGTTTCCATCCATTTGTGCAAGTGATTTGTGTTGGTGAACAAGCCCTCTTGATGTGGACCCCCCCCCCCCGTGGGACAGCTGCCCCATATGCTGTGGCTTTGGGGGGGGCATGTAGGAATGAAAGAGGGGGAAGCTGAGCTGGTTTTCACCTTCATTGTGGTTTGCAGTGGTGGTGACTATCTTTAGCTCAGGTGAAGGAAGCGGGTAAAGATTCCTTCTCCGATCTTGTGGGTTGGTTTCCAAATGTTTCGTTACCAGGCTACGTAACAACTTCAGCAGAGTTTAGGGGATGTTAGTGTTCCTCTGTTTATAAGGGCTTTGTGTTGTGATGGGGAGGGTCTTGTGATGGGTCTAGTGATGGATCTTGTGATGAGTCAGTTGTGGGTCACGGGTGAAGATCTTGTGAGGAGTCCTGTGATGGTCACGTGCTGGTTGGGGGGAGTTGTGGTGGGTTGGTTGAGGGTCGGTGTCATCGCCGGTTGGCTGCGCAGTTGAATGCTGCAAAGGTCGTAAGGATGAAAACTGGTCATAAGTCCCTTTTTCCAATGCCGTTGTAACTTCAAACGGCCATTAAATGAACTGTTGTAAGTCCAGAACTACCTGCATAACTGTCCACGGAGATTCCCACTCATCCAGGTCCTCCTTATCCCAAAGTGCTTTTTCACCAGGCAACTGGACTTTCTTCTTTTTCTGTTTTCTTTGAAGACGTTTCGCTTCTCATCCCAGAAGCTTCTTCGGCTCTGACTGAAGGGGAACGGAAGGGTTTCATTCATTCTAGACGTCCAGGAGAGATTTTTGTCTTGTTGTGTAAGACTGAAGATGGTGACCCTGAAGACGCAGATAAGCTTCCAGGTAGCTTGAACGACTCGCAGAAAGAATGCAAACGACCAGCTGCCTGCAAGGAAGAGAAGTCCTTTCATTGCCCACCATCCAGTCAGAGCTGAAGAAGCTTCTTGGCTGAGAAGCGAAACGTCTTCAAAGGAAAAAACAAAGAAGCAAAAAAGTCCCGTTGCCTCGTGAAAAAGCATCTTTGGGATAACGACCTGTATATTTCTTTTCTTGGATGAAAGCCATTAGTTTGGCCATCACTGCAAGCTCCATCAGTTCTCTAATCCTTTCTTTCATTGGAGCTTTTTCACCTCTGGACTGACAGTCTCTTCTGAAAGGGGGAAAGAATCCAATTGATCTAAACCTATTTTTTTCCACCTCTGCAGAAGTGCAAGAGAGATCTGGAGGGCGCTGACAGAAGACCCACATTTAAAAAGGAAATTAATGAGAGCCCTCCAGAAAAGATTACAAGGAATGTTACGAGGATATCGTTGGCTATACGAATGATTGAGACTCTGCATAGATTTTAAGAAAACAGGAATCGTCATCTCCTTGGGGTTCTTACTGATCGCAATCCGGGGATACTCCAGCAGGTGGTCCACCACCTGGTTTACCCGTTTTGAGGCCAGGTGACACACGGACTTCTTTAGTGGCCGGTTCACTGATGTTGGGCAGACGCTGACAAATTTCCGTGAGGATCGTGGGTAGCTACGGCAAAACAGAGATCAGAGGGATGAGATCCAGTGTCGGTCTCCAAACCCTGCATTTCTTACTTCCTCCATGTCCATCACACATTCCTCCAGGAAGGAGATGAGTAGTACTCCCGCAGCCTGTGAAATGGTCTTCTCCTCATGTGTGAGAGCCTCGATGTTGTCATCAGGTCTATGATATGCGTGGGGGAGAGATGCTCACCAAAGGCCTATCAGAGAGAAGAAAAGGAGACCACACAGAGATGAATCAGGGTTTTTGACTCCCTTCCCTCTACAAGGGGGGGGGGTTTCAGATACTTTGTCCCAGAGGCAGGGCTTATTCCATGTTGTCAATCACGTCCACTGATATTAGGGTGTGGTTAAAAAGAAGCCAACTTGGCAGCTGCAATTGCCTATTCCTAGCCATTAGAATAGAATAACTGAGTTGGAAGGGGCCTTGGAGGTCTTCTAGTCCAACCCTCTGACATGGCTTCCCCATCACAAGACCCATCAGAAGATCTACACCTGTGACCCACACCTGACCCCTCAGAAGACCCACTCGACACATCCACACCTGGAGCCCTTACAAGAAGAATACCGACATCCACTATTTGCAAATAGTGGAGAGGTGGACCTTAGATAAGAAAGCGGGAATCACCTGAGCAGATGAAAATTTGGTAATTCAGATTAAAGATCAGAAATATGCTCATATTAAAGGAATTTATAATGAGTTAATAAAATTGGATTCGGAAACAGAGCTAGTAAAAGATTGTATGATTAAATGGGCTCAGAATATTCAGGAACCGATTTTATTGGATTTATGGGAGTTAATTTGGATTAAAAATGTTAAATTTACGCAGGCTCAAAATTTGAGGGAAAACTTTTATAAAATGTTTTATAGATGGCATCTGGATCCTAAAATGTTGTCTTGTATGTACCCGAACCTGCATCCTAAATGTGGGAGATGTGGTAGCTTGGATGCAACTTATTTTCATGTTTGGTGGACTTGTAAAAATATTAAAGCCTTTTGGATTATGATTTGGTGGAACATTCAAAAGGTTTTTAAGAGGAAGATTAAGTTTACTCCCCAATTATTTCTTTTGGGTATTTTTGTGGATTTTGATGCTAAAGAAACTATTTTAATGTTGAATTTTACAACAGCAGCAAGATTATTGGTGGGTCAATATTGGAAGAAAGACTCTCTGCCTTCTTTAGAAGAATGGGTATTTAAGGTTTCTAATTTAGCAGAAATGGCTAAAATTTCTGCTTATTTAAAGGATCATTCACAAGAGAGATTTGTTATTGTATGGAGAAGATGGATAGAATATGTTCAGAAGAAATATGGAACTACAAAATTTCATTTCTTTGATGAGTAATGGATTTGTTTATAAAATTATGATGTTAAAGTTTGAAGAGAGTTAAGGGTTAGTATGATTTTGGTTATTGTATAATTAGTAAACTTAAGTAGATTATGTTTAATATGTTTGTATAACCCTGTACTTGGCTCTGGGAAGCTGGGGGGGAGGGGAGGGGGAGAGGTGGGGGGAGGATGGTTTGGAGGTTAAATAAGTCAGATAAGTAGAAATAGTTGTTTTCTTTTGTATATAATATTGATGTTTTAACTTGGAGAGAGGAATTGCTCGGGCATTTCCCCTGGACCGCATCCGGAGTGAGAAGATAGGAGGAAGGGGCGAAGTAAGTAGGAAGGTTGAGGAGAAGGAGGAGAGGGGGAGAGTGAGGAAGAAGAGGGAAAGAGGTAAGTGAGAGAAGAGGTTAGAGGGTGGATGCGGTTTGAGTGGAAATGGGTGAGCAATACCGAAAGTTGTCTGTATAAATTTACTTTATTCTTTATCTGAAGTATTCTTTATGAATGTAATGAAAAATTGAAAATAAAAAATCTTTTACGAAAAAAAAAAATACCGACATCCCTCAAACTCTGCTGAAGATCTTACCCAGCCTGGTAATGAAATATTCGGAAACCAAGCAGAAGCTCGGAGGAGGAACCTCCACCCTCATCCTCCACCCGAGCTACAGATATTCTCCACTATCACGAATGATTGAGAATCTCCATAGATCGTAAGAAAACTGGAGTCCTCATGTCCTTGAGGTTCTTACTGATCGCAGTCCAGGGAGTACTCCAGCAGGTGGTCCACCACCTGGTTTACCTGTTTTGAGGCCAAGTGACACACAGATTTCAGGGTTCACTGATGTTGGGGAGATGGTGGTAAATTTCCGTGAGGATCGTGGGTAGCTACTGCAAAACAGAGATCAGAGGGATGAGATCCAGTGTCGGTCTCCACTGGAGATGCAGTGGAGTTGATCACTCCCACCCATTGGGGAAAAAAAATTGGCCCCCAGAATGTCAAAGTTTGCCTTACATTTTGGAAAAAAACATCTAGTTTATCAAGCCCATCTGATATGGACAACATTGTACTGAATTCACACTGGCCACGGTAGATGCACAGAAGCCCTCTATAAATGGGACAAAATATCATCACAGAATTGTGACTGTGGGTCCAAAAAAATCCCCTATCCAGATGGCTCTCTAAATAAAGTTTTCATGAAAACAACATGGCTATTTTGTTTTGCCCTTACCTTCTTCTGGAAGGTTTACTCAACTTTATAGCCTTAAGATCACCTGGTGGTCTCCCATCCAGCCCTAACTTTCTTAAAACCAGCCAAAGTGTTGTCATCACAAAGAGGGCCTCAAAGCACAAGGTCTCATCCATTTTCATCATTCTTTTCTACAAAATCTCCTATATCCCTTTTGCTCCAAACCCTGCATTTCTTACTTCCTCCACGTCCATCACACATTCCTCCCTCCCCCCCCCACAACCTGAGAAATGGTCTTCTCCTCATGTGTGAGAGCCTCAATGATTTTCAACATCAGGTCTGTGATTTCCATTGGGGATAGATGCTCACCAAAGGCCTATCAGAGACAAGAAAAGGAGACCACACAGAGATGAATCAGGGTTTTTGACTCCCTTTTCTCTACAAGAGGTGGGTGGGTTTCAGATACTTTGACCAAGATTTGGGGAAAGGACATTGTACAGAGAGGCAGGGCTTATTCCATGTCATCGATCACATCCACTGATATTAGGGTGTGGGTAAAAAGAAGCCAACTTGGCAGCTGCAATTGCCTATTCCTAGCCATTAGAATAGAATAGCAGAGTTGGAAGGGACCTTAGAGGTTTTCTAGTTCAACCCTTTGCTCAGGGAGGAAACCGTACATGACTTCAGACAAATGCTTGTCCAATCTCTTCTTAAAAACCTCCAGTGTTGGAGCATTCACAACTTCTGGAGGCAGGTTTTTCCACTGATTAATTGTTCTAACTGTCAGGAAATTTCTCCTTATTTCTAGTTTGCTTCTCTCCTGGATTAGTTTCCATCCATTGCATCTTCTCCTGCCTTCAGGTGCTTTGGAGAATAGTTTGACTCCCTCTACTTTGTGGCAGCCCCTGAGATACTGCAACACTGCTATCCTGTCACCCCTCGTCCTTCTCTTCATTAAATTAGACATACCCAATTCCTGCAATCGTTCTTCCTATGTTTTAGTCTCCAGGCCTCTAATCATCTTTGTTGCTCTTCTCTGCGCTCTTTCTAGGGTCTCAACATCTTTTTTACATCATGGCGACCAAAACTGGATGCAATATTCCAAGTGTGGCCTTATTGAGGCACTACAAAGTGGTATTAACCCTTCACATGATCTTGATTCTAATCCATTCTTATACATTCATCCCATGGATTGTATGGGATGGACAGCCAAACTCCAGCCTTTGGATCATGCCCTCCCCACTGTTACACTGGCTTTTTGGAGCATCTCCAGGTCCTAAGGAGGAGGACAGAAAGGAAGGTCAAGAAGAAGAAGGCAAAAGGCTGGACTAAAACCTACCTTAGCCATTTTGGAGATGTCGTTGTAAAAGAAGTCTTGGCCCAAACCGAGATAATCCTCTCTTAGCCATTTGACTGTATTCCCCTTTTTGTTCTTGGGCTTCTTCTCCATTTCTTTAGCT